GATGAACTTCGTCATTGCTCATCCGATGTTCCCACCAGATATGAGCAATGCTTCGGAGAAATCGGTGGTGGAATACAGAAAATCGATTAGCGTCCTCATCGCGAAGAGGTCAGGTCTCGCAACTGTGGTGATGTACGCCCTTCCCTTAAGGGACAGTCGGATGTCATGGCGGCGCCACATGATGTTGTAAACACGCTATAACTGATATCCAGTTTGAAACTTGTTCGTACGTTTTATCACGTTTATCTGAAACAGACTTTCCAAACAGATCTGTGTGAGTCATTATGAGTTTTGAGCATATTCATTGAAACGAAAATGACAAATGGTGACACGGTGTATTTCCAAATAGACTGTGACCTTCTGATGCGAATTTCTAAGAGCTTTTCGGAATAAATTATTACAAAGCATCCAGTTCGCTTCGTGGCAAGTTCACACGAGCAGTTGGTGAGCTCATTCTACCCTCAATGTATGGATTTATCCGCGTTTTTAGCCGAATTCCGTGAGAATGGATCGCGTTGGTCAACTGTCGATGAGGAACACAAAATGGACGCACTGGATTTCAGACTGTACGAAGATGAAACACAACAAAGATGAAACTCACTGACGCCCTTTAGCAGCCACCACGCAGCCAATTCATGCCTTGTATACTTACTCCATGGTAAGCATACTGATCTGACAGATTTCAGCTTACTATTTTTGTGTCAAATTCTGGCAGCAATTTTGATGAAAAGAATTTTTAGGTTGATGAATAAGCCATTTTGGTTTGTGCCGACTTTGTGGTATTTTTTCAAATTATTTGCTCATCACCCTGTGTGTACAACTTTAACGGGGTATTATATTTTGTAGCTTCTATCTAATTCACGAAAGAGAAATTTATGTGCTCCTATACATCCATAAACATTTTACGGACTCCGGCAAACGTTGGCAAGGTGTGCCACCATATCCCCGTTGTGGGAATCCTCTACTCCTTGAAGGTCAACTAAAGCCTTATCTAATGCCAGCCACTTTAATCCCATGAACGGACTTGATCGTGGAACGCTAGATTAGATAGCTACTGTTCAGAAGAAATTCAACCAACCAGGAATGCGGAAATTAATAAAACGAATTCCTTGTTCAGCGAACAGTTATCGTGAAAAATAGCCCCTCTCCACAATTAGTCAGACTCACCGGAAGAACGATTGAAGAGCAACGCGTGACACAATCCGCTATTGGTTCGCACTACTAGAAAATCTTTTTCAGAACACTCTTCACTGTCTATTAGACAACTGGAAGAGAGGGAGTAAGAGAGAGATAAAAGATGTGGATAGGTTTGAACAAGTGATAAGTTACGTAAGATGTGCGACTTAACCAAATGTTGAATTGAACGGGACTGAACGGGATGTAAATAAACTCAAATTATTATACTTTCTGTAAAAATACTGTGTCTGTCAGATAGTCATATCACGAGAAAAAATGGAAATGAGTCATTTGAACAAGGTGATGTGGTAGGCAAGTGAGTTGCGTGATTTGTGTTTGGTTAGGGGTTCAGTGCAAGTTAGATGACAAAATTTGATATGGAGGTGAACTGGTCCGAATGATGTGGTGAATGTGATGAAGGGAGAGGGATGGAAGATCATGTCACGTTATGCTATGTTAGGATGATATCAAGTGCGGTATCATCACTACCAAGGCAACAACCGTAGCGTCACAAATGTTTTTAACACATAATTACGGTTTCAAGCGATGAATAACTATCGCTTCCAAGAGTCGAGACCTCACAATAACTCGAAGAGCTTTGGGGGGGGGCTACATGGTGACCGGAATCTAACAAATGATGAGCAATCACTGTAGATGGTAGTTTCCCTCCGCGAAGATCAAGGTGTTTCGGTTGATAAATGACGTTCTGTCCTTCCAATGTACCGCAGGTGCATTTAAATCAATAGACAGTTGGAAGTATCTTCTCGATCCAGATTAGTGCGTGTGAGACAGCGAAACGTCCCGGGGACAATCATTAGTCTTGCAGCATTGTACGTCCTTTCCATGGTGTGTGTTAAACGACGAGATAACTTTGTGGTCGCATCATCTCCCTTGAAAGTAAGTTCAAGATAGACATGCATCTTCTTAGTTAATAGGGTCCAGTTCACCTCCGAAATCAAATTTTGTCATCTAACTCGACCTCAACCCCTAACCAAACACAAATCATGCAACTCACTTGTCCATCACCTTATTCAAGTGACTGATTTCAACTCTTGTTTTTTGGTTAGACAATGAAAACATATTCATATTGATCTCACTTGTGAGTAGCAGTAGGGGATAATTAAAATTGGTTGTGAACTGATTATCCTTCAGATTTTGCCTTCATTAGCAATCCTCAGTTCTTCCGTCAGCCATACATTCGGTAGCAGTAGACTCGAGTTTCGATTTTATTAGAGCTCATCACTAAAGTATACCCCTGCTCTTTGTTACTGTGGGGCCAAAATAAACTGACTCACTATCACCGAAGACCAGACGTGAACAAATACGATTTGGCAATTCTGTTCAGCCCTGAAATGAGCTGGTTGGTAGGGTGAAAACACACACGCCTTTGATGCGATGGGTCTAGGGTTCAGGCCTCGGACCGATATACACTACCAATGAGAGAAACTCTAGTCTAGTGCTTTCGAATGTGTGGATTACTGAAATAACTGAGCATTGTGCTCGAGGGTGAAGCCCGAGAACGATAGTCAGTTCAAAATCAATAAACACATCATTCACCTGGTTTTAAAATGATTCTTCAAATATTTACAAACTAACAAAAAGTTACTGGGAGTGAAAGTTATCCGAATTACAAAATGCTAGATTTCAAAACGTGTGTGTGATCGTCCTCTTTTAATGATGTTTCTCCACCTAAATACAAAGAGCTACTTGCTATGCACTAGTTTGTTGTAACAGAACTCGAAGTTGTTTCTTTCATTGACCAAAGTGATAGGGTCTTATGACGCTGCATTTCAGCTTTTTAGATTATTGTGACCAAGTATTTCCAATTGATACAACTTATTCGATGTGTCGACATGCTCGTTTTACGTTCGATAATCAGTTAAGCGCATAGTCGCACAAGATTTGACGCTAACGTTTCGAAATCTTCAAAAGTATCTGCGATTTCATATCGAATTGAAAATCGAGTTAAATTATGCAATGTTAAAGATTTTAAAACTTTCATCAAGATTTAGTGCAAAACCTTTCCATAAATTTCTTATCAGCTACCAACACGGTTATTTGCACTTGAATATCTGTGAAAGTGTCACGTCGCTGATGCGATGAAATGATCCCAATTGCTGTGGATATTTGGAGCAGAATGTTTCACTCACTTGCATATATGTTTCTGGTGTGAAACTGTTCTTTTACGGGCTATGAGAATAATTTACGGGAATTCCCGCGTAAAATAAAGTAAAGTTTATTCTATAAACAATTGGAAACCGTAAAAACAACTAGTTGCTCCGCATGTCTTTACTCTCGGATTCTGGCATAAAGCCCAACTGAAAGTTTTGTTTACTGTATTTTAGCAAAATACTTCCCCCTGGACATTCCTGTGATGAGGATTACGAAACTGTTAATAAAATGCTCACTGTTGATAAGTTATTACAATGTTCATTATAGCAAATAATGTTTATTTCAAAGGCTGTTCGCTATGGTGAACCGCACTCCACTTTCACCTTTGACCTTGATGTGTTGTGCCAACGTGGTGGCCTGATCTACGAAAAAGAGATTTTCACCCAAACACTTGTTCCCAGTGGCTGTACAAAGGCTATCGTGTAAATTTCTCTCTCACAGACGGCCCGCCATAACCGAATCGGTATCAGGGACCAGTTTCTCCCCGGTAGATCGTGATCACGCTTAGTTGTGCGCTCTTCCGTCGTTTGCTTCTATTTTGAGCAAATGGAAAGCGTTTTCTGAAACCCTTTTTTAATTTTGCTCAAATAAGCGTGGCAGGCCACTGTCATGTACGACTTTACATCGCAGTGTGAACTAGGTTGTTCAAGATGTACTTTCGTTAAATATTCATTAAAGGGCAGATTTCGCAACATGCTGCATTCTTTTCGCACACACACACACACACACAGACAAAGTACATATCTGATGAGGTAGTCAGTTACAATGTGGCTTGATCATGCATCGGCCGGAATAGAAAATAACTGTGCAAAATATTTCAATGCCCAGTGGTGTGGAAATTGTCAGCAAACACAAAACAAAGATAGGAAGGTGATTCGTGGTTTCTATTCACCTACTGAGTACAAAATTGAACAGATTATTTTGGGAATTTGTGTTATACATATATCTTTGGAGTTAATTTTCAATGAATTATAGTATTAATTGGCATCCTCAGAATTTCTGTTTCACGTGTTTCTGTTGTAGAAAGTTGCGCATTGTCCTTTCTCACAATGAATCCCCTTTCCTCATCACCAGCTAATCCATTTATAATTGTTGTGCACAGATATTATTGTATTATTTTCCGTTTATTCTACCACACCAGGCAATTTCAACGCACCTTTTTAGCATTGAGGACATTCTGTGCGACAGAAGCCGATATTCCACGTCACTCAGGTTGGACAAGAACGTCACCAATTCTGCCGGGTTTCTCAATCGGTCACTAATCAGCTGACTGTACACGTTCTCTCCATTAATCATACTGAAAATGGCCGAGCCTCTGTGGAAGCGGAGAGTAAAAAATACAATCAATTGTCCGGATCAATAAGTATCATGATGCGCAATCAAACAGTGTCGATACGAAGATGTTTACATGTCATTGTGATGTATTAAACCAATAACTGATTCCAGGCAACGAAGCATTCTGTTTTCTTTTGAGAAACAGTACAATGCCGACATTCTGCGAGTGGCTTGAACCGGAAGGTGACAGATACATGTAACACACATTAACTGGTAGCGGTTCCATAAAATGAACCAGTTGCATTCCATCAGTTCCTCATTTGTCTGAAATTGCTCGCCGGTAATTTCCCAAACTTTTAAAACACCCCTTGTCGGTAGGTGGAAGAGACAAAACTTGGCTAATTTTCGAAAGAGTGGCAACGGAGTTAGGCAATCGACACGCACCGTGTTCGACAGCTGGCTAAATTACAAGTCAAAGAATTTGAAACATGCTACAAAACTACTCTTAGGTAAATGTTAAAGCTCACCTCAGTGATACATTTATCAGTGTACTATATCAACTAGCTTTCGGCTTTATTGTTGGGATGTACTCAGTCATAAACAAGCACCTTAAAATCGATGTGTCAAATCAATTCAGTTTATAAAAAGATTGCGGAATAAATGCACTTTTAGACAAATATTTCACCTCAAGGGGTTGAGTCCACAAATCAAAAGTGTCGGTTGACACTTATCCGCATATTCCCTCATTGGTCGCCATGTGGAAATCAGCGTTCCCGTGGCATTACGAGTCTCCTGTTGTTTTTGTTGCTGCTGCTGCTGCTGCTGCTGCTGCTGCTGCTGCTGCTGCGATCCACATGCGTGAGTTTGCAATAAGTCTGGAAAGGAATTGCGTATCCAAATCCAATCTGTGATACGATACATCATGAAAAAGCCAATCACTGCAAGCATGAATAGATGAAGAGACCTGGAAAATAGAAGAAAACGAAAAACAAGGGAAAGAGCAATAACGTTTTGTGATACCGAGGCATAAATTGCAAATCGATCAATCACCGATGTGCTTCAGCTTATTCTGTGCTTTTTTTCTCGCTTGTTTCATCATTAAAAATAAAACGCTATTTATGGTTTCACCATTAGATAGATTATTGTCATACTTTGAATCGGATTGGCGGAACATAAAACCTTAAAATATGATATGATTTTGATAGAGGAATTTTTTACATTCATTTTGAACACACAAACAACATTCTTGTTACCTTTGATTTGTGGTTATTAGTTTGCGCTTTGCTGTATGTTTGATACTTTTTTGCGTTTTGAATGTGTCCGTATTTGTGGTTCCTCTTCCACTATTGTTTACGACCGACGACAAAACAGTGGCGTTTTTATGTATTGTGTTGTATTGTAATAAGTTGTATGAAGGCAATTATGTCTACGTTTCAGTCAAATAAAATGTGTTCACCGCTACAGTGGAGTGAAAAATAGAAACGTTGTATACAAACAATAATGATAAAACTTAAACGGGAGTTCATTTTTGCAGGTTTAAAATTAATTCCTTACGAAGCCGCACCGTGTTAGCGAAAATACGAGCCATATAGGGAACCATTGAATTTCGATAAATCTTTATGTGGGTTCCTAAGCAGCTACATAATTCGATCGGGTTGTCGCGTGGGAACAAAAAGCAGACAGATCGAGATTGAGCGGATGACAGAGGTCGTTACGTATCTTCTTATAGGTGAAATTCTCATATGAACTAATATGAAAGTCACATAATTTTTTGAGCAGAGTGTTTCAAGGGCTAAGAGAAACACGGTTGATAATTACCAAACCGTGAGGAAGGGTAATGCAATCCTTTTTAGGTAGTCCACGGAAAGTAACGAGCAAACAATAAAGCATGACAGAAAAAATGCATTGATGAGCACAAGAACATGTAGTTGCATGCTTCAATCCAAATTGTCGTAGCTTTTGTATTTGGAAGGATAATCCACGCAGTCTAACAAAATAGTCTAGCACATGAGAGGACCACCGTAGAATCCTACCGACGGTGACTTATAGGTATTTGGCGGTATGTGCTTTGCTGATGGGTGCGGCATTGATGGCTGAGGGTTCCGAGGGATACTCGAATCAGGAAAAACTAAAAACGCATTCAAAGCATTTAGAAACACTCACTCGGAGCCCGCATTGGCTCTAGAATAACCACACTTGAAATAAACTGTGAAAAATAATTCAATATCAGATTGGATGGAAACGGATTGTCGTAAGGCTACATCATTGATATACATAAACCTCCAGGTTGGTGAAAAAGAGGGCTAGTTACTAATGAATGTTGACAATAAGTTGAGAGAAAGCACAGCACCCTGAAGAACTTCAGATTTATTCACTAACGGTATTGAAACAGAGCCTTTTGCTTCAATTTTCAGTCACTTTTGTGAATTAATCTTTCAATCATGACAATGAAGTGGAAGAGCAACCAGATATCTGTGACGTTTGGAAAAGAAGAGGTTGTGGCAACCTGCACTTTGGTTCAATACAAATTGGTTGCTACCCCTAACACTGGGCGGCGAACAGATGGAGAACGAAAGCTGGGGCACAAATGACGAAAAAATATGTTTCAAGGAATGACCCTTCATTGCACTCAAATCAAGCAAACAAACGATAATCTAAGTCAGTTTTGCGGTTACGTTATTTGCATTCATGCACCACAAGTATTCAATCATTGGATCAAGACGAAAATAGATCTTCTAGTCCTTAGTTCACTCTGTCAATCCCGTTCAAAAATCTCATCGAGAATCGGTTGTTTTGTGACAACTTCTGTATACCCTGTGAACAACAAGGCGATTGAAAACAGCGCGGGAACTGCCGCAAAAAGTAGGCCTTATAAATGGATTTGAAAGAAATGGACAATTGATTGACACCTAAGGATGTTCACTAGATGGATGTGTAGCTGGAATTGCTAGAAAATAACGTGTGAATATGCGGTTATTGCACCCGAAAATGAGATTTTGGCGTTGAAACCGGTCGATTCTCTATGCTCTTTCATTTCTTGCTTTTAATCAGCAAAAAATCAGTGCTACTGCAAACATGTCATTTCGATGGAAGTGCTCAAGATCACCTGGCTTGTGTTGTGATTCACACGACTGTGAAAGTGAAAACGCGAATATTTCACCAACAAGGATAAACATCAGTTTACCTACATATCACAACATGTATTCGGCTATTTATGTACTGAGGATCTTGTGATTTTCAGCATATACTAAACAGTGAACAGTGAATAATTTGGAGTGTTTTATGCACTACCCCGGAATAAACCAATCCGCTTGTACCGAATCTTACTTGAACAGGCAAGTCAGAAGAGGAACACCGCGAGAGGGGTTCCTTTCGTATACTCTCATTGTGCATGTGTGATGCTTCTGATTGGTTACAACCAGGGAAGGTCAAGGGTAAATGTTAGACACTTTTGCACACACAATACGGTTTTGCTGTGTCCGTTTGATAATGTCTCGAGTATCCCGTAGTCGTTGTTTGTCTCAATGACGTAATAACACCGAGAACGCGTTTGCTAGGCCTACATGGTGACCGCTTTCAACCAAGTGACTTACGATGGCCGAAGCCGGTCCACGTGATGCGGTCAGGGTTTGTGGTGTGGGCTGAGTCAGAGAATTACGCACATACCTGGGGATGTGTTCAGTCATCCTAGATAGTTCACAATGATCGGTCAGTTCTACCACTGTGTGCTTAGTTGCAGCTGCATATGCACATGACTAAACCTAAGTAGATTTCTTAATTCACTTCATTTGTCTATCTTGTTCAATGTTATACGTACGCGATCGATGACAGTATACGAAAGGAATTCCTCTCACAGTCTTTGTCTTCCGACTTACCTGTTCAAATTCATTACGGGATCAAAATGTTTCAGTTTTGTGGCAAACAAAGCCTATTTGTAATGCATACACAACACTTATCAGAGAATAATTGGAAGCTTCTGAATGTAGTTTTCTCATCTCTAAGGTCTCGCAATGGAATACAGCCACGAAATTCAGTCAGATTCGAACTCAGACATGAGGTTTCTTCAAATTGATGTGTTAATTCACCTCAGCTATCCGCGATGATTAACAGTAGCTACTCGCTACATCCTGACATCCGGTGATATAACGCTCGTGATTCAAATTATCTAATAAACACCACCTGGATTTGGCCTACAATGATTGACTGTCATTTTAGGTCGTTTAACATGCCTTTGTCTTCAAATAAACTGATCTTAACTGACTAAATGCTCACTTAAATAACGATAATATTGGTAACGGAATTCCACTCACGTGAAAACTCCTCCTGGAAAATTTTCTAAAGAACAACCAGACAGAAAACATTGAAACCAAATCTCATCAGGGTAGAAATCAAAAATTGTACCTTTCATTCCAGACTTCCAACTGGATAATAATGTCAAACAGTTCGTGGTCACAAACGACATCACTCTGGTCCCCAGAATGCCACAATCCAATCGGCTTTGTTTTCCCCCGTTTGGAACCTAATCCCAAGTCAAGTGCTTCTGGGATTAGAGATCTTGCAGACGTGTTTCGTTCCCCACCATGTGATTGTTTAAACTCATTCACTTCCGTCTATCTCCTCGGATAGATTCACAGGGAATGTTCAGACAGAGAGGTAGAATGATCCGATGCGTGTTAGGACACAAATTAGTAGTTGGTCGAGTGTATATGATTGTGATTCAAACACATTTAGATTTTTACACAAATTACAAGTGGTCCTCCCGTTTTGTTAAGGAAAATATTCGGTACTCTATATATATATATATATATATATATATATATATATATATATATATATATATATA